CTATGAGTCGGAGTCGACTCGGCAGCACTAACAACATTATACAATAATGAAAAGAGCAGAGGGCTAGATAGCCTACAGACATATTCACAAATTCTTCCAACATATAAAGGCTTCTCACTGAAGACAGTGTACCAGATTCAGCATATGCTGACTGACAGATACAGATTTCATCATTCATTTTTAAGTCTGCGGTTTGAATTTTTTTCTAGTCATTTTTCCACTGACAGTTGGTTTTTGGGCTTACGTATGATTGATAGAAAAGGGCAGATCCTTTTGATGGACATACTATTGTTTTTGTCATTGTTAAGTCTGTTGAGTCAGTTCCAACTCAGGGACCCTGTATCAAATTTCCGAGGGGCAGCTGGTGGGTTTGAACTGCTGACCTTGTGGTTCACAGTCCAGTGCTGACACTACAGCTCCACATCAGAAGTCTGATGGACATATAGAGAGCCTGAATTGTCATTTTCCCAGAATTAAAGAAGAGTTTTCAGTGAGGGAAAAGATCAAGCTAGGCTGACAGGAAGTGAATGTTGTTGACAGAGGTGTCACCCAGGGTGGTGTTGTTGTTAAGTGCCGTCAGTTTCAACTTATAGCGACCCTGTATAGGGTTTCTGAGGAACGGCTGGTTCAAACCAACCGTGCAGTCCAGTGCGTTGACCTGTAGCGCCACACCAGGACTCCGTGACCCAGGGTAGAAGCAAGGTATAGGGTCTGCAGTTCAGAAATGCCACTTGTATTTGTGTTCAAGTTAATGTGGTGGGATGAACTGATTAGGGAGAAGTTTTGAATTTGTTGAGGTGGGTGTTACAGATGAGGGCTGAAAAACACATGACTCATTATAAGGGAAGTGGCACAAAACTTTGGAAACAACAATTTAGCCCAGCTAGAGGAGGAAAAAGGAGCTCTGGTAGAGTAGTGGTTACGAATCGGGCTGCGAATCTGAAAGTCGGTGGTTCAAAACTACCAGCTGCTCCGCGGGAGAAAGATGAGGCTTTCTACTCCCATAAGGATTTACACCCTCGGAAACCCTGTACAGGGTCGCTATGGGTCGGAACCGACTCAACGGCACTTAACAACAACAACAGAGCAGGAAAAAGGAGCTCT